AGGGCTGCGCCTGCGCATCACGCCTCCTCCTGCGAAAGGCGGGAAGAGCGCCTTGCCTTCGCCTTTGGCTGTGCGCGCGGCTACCCGCGTTGCCGTGGCAACGCAGCTTCAGGGGAAGGAGGGTAGACGCGCTTCTGACACCCTGCACGCCCTACATAATTGAAATAAGAATATTTACAGGGTTTTCATTTGCAAAAAAATGAAAGTTGCTTTATTAGATTAGACATGTTGGGCTCGCCAGAGCATAGGCTTTCCTCAGAGGCCAAGCTGGCCTCATCGGGCTTCTCTTCGCCACTTGTTCTATGGTGAGGAGTCTTCTGCACTCCCTCAGCAGTTGGAGTGCTGGGCTTCGAGACAGCAGTGGTTTCTTGCACGGAGCAGGAACCTGTGTAGGGCCTGCTGGTGACCAGCGGTGCTTCTTTCTTCAGAATGTTCCCTCAAGGAAGAGGCTGGGAGGAGAGAAAAAGACAGGTTACCTACCTGTCACTGTGGTTTCTTGAGGGGTCATCTGTGGAGTCACACTGATGGGGAACCTGCACATGCGCAGAGTCTGTCTGAAGCACTCCCAAGTGGAGTGGTTCATTGTTTGCACATGTGCAACCATATGCACATTCATTTTTTTGCATATATGCAACACGGAGACCTTTGTTCCCATGCACCAAAGTTAGATGGAGCACCACATGGAGGTTTGGGTTTGTAGTGTGACTTGACAAATGATCACTTGAAGAACCACAGTTGCAGGTAGGCAACCTGTCGTTCTCTTTTGTGGTCTTTGCAGATCATATGGATGGGAGACTAGGCTGACATAGGCAACCTTCCAAATGTCTTGAAATGGAGCTCCATATAAGGTTGCAACAGAAGTGGCCCGTGCCCTTCTAGATTCTAGAAGGACCTCTTAACACCTGAGGAGGGACACCTTCGCAATCCTGTAGACAAGGTGAATTGTCAGTGGGTGGCTCTCTGGGAGGAGACTGGTACAGTATTTCTTGCTTTTGACTGCCATCACAGAGAACAAGGTGTGATGGTGGGGTACAGGAGATGTAGGAGCATCTCCTGTACCCCACCAATCACAATTTAAATGAAAAAAACCTCTTAAAAATTAAAATGGTCAAAAATCCAATTTTTAAAATTTAAATAGCAATCAGCAAGGCTTTTTGTAAATGCAGGGATCAAAGAGGAATTCTGAAAAGAAATTCATGCCTGGACAGGGTGGAAATGGAAGGACTAACAGTATCTAGTACAAAGAGCTCTGCAGGGGTAAAAATAAAGTATAACATTACGACAGGATTATAAACAGCCGCTGGTATGGTCCTCTATGGTGACTAAGGATCTCCTGCAGGTAACTAAAGTGCAGCCACTTTTGAATAGGTAAGCCTTCTTCTTTTTAATGACTTTAATTCCTTTCCTTTCATGCCAGGCACACTGATCAAGATTCGGATAGCTGGGGTTAGGAATGCCTTTCTTCTAGCTTTTGAAGAAAAATCAAGGCACGCTCTCTCTCTCTCTCTCTACAGGGATCCCTCGTGAGACAAGGCGATTTATACAAGGCAAAAACTGGTCCGAAAGAGCTCATCAACACTGAGCTTTTGGGGACCCTATGTGTGTGTGTGTGTGTGTGCGTGTGCAGAGGCAGTAGACTCCGTGAGCCTTGCGAGGTGGAAGTGAGATGGGGGGGCGAGGAGGAAGAAAGGAAAAACACCAGTTAACTCTGCCTTGGGCAGGAATAAAAGAGAGGCGGGAAGAGGTGCGCAAATGCTCCAGCTACCTGGAGAGCCCCCTCCCCCCCCGTTTTGGAAACCCTTTCCCGAAGCCACAGAGAGGATAGAGGAGGGCAACTGGGGTCCCCGTTTTCCATGGGGGGGGAAGGGAAGGTAGGGGTGTGTGTGTGAGCGCGCGTGTGCGTATGTGTAAGTGTGTGTGTACGTGGACTCACGGGCTTGAGGAGCTTCCCACCCCCTCCTCCCCGGTCTCTATTGTCCCAGGCAGCCCAACCGCCACGGCCCCGCCGCCTCCTCCTCCTCCTTCCTCCTCCTCACCATCCGACTCGGCCCGGACGAGCAGCGACATCCCTTTGTGCCGCTCCACGTAGGTGGACGAAACGTGCCCGGTGCCCCGGTCGTCCCATTGCCGCTCTTCGTTGAGCGTGTAGACCTTCACCCGCCCCCGGGTGTCCGACATGGTGGCGGCGGCGGCGGCACTGGTGGGGAGCCCGGTCCAGCCGGTGGGGAAGGGAGGGACGAGGGCGTCGCTCAGGAGGCCTTTAACTCGCTGCTTCTCATGGCGCCCGGGCCCGCCGCCTTTCTTCCGCCTCAGCGAAACCCCGACCTGTTTAGCCTCAGCAGCAACTCCTATCACCGCCACCACCGCCGCCGCCGCGGCGCGGCCGCCATCTTGTAATCCGACGCTTGTCCCGTCCCTGCCTTTCTCTTCCTCTCAGAACGAGGGAAGGAGGGGGGGGCGGAAGGCCTGCGCACGGGCTCCACTAGCAGGGGCTACGGCGGCCGAGAAGGGAAAAAGAACAGAAAGCGAGGGCCGTCACAAACCTGAAGAACAGAAGGGGAGGGGGGAGAAGAGCGAGGGCTGCGCCTGCGCATCACGCCTCCTCCTGCGAAAGGCGGGAAGAGCGCCTTGCCTTTGCCTTTGGCTGTGCGCGCGGCTACCCGCGTTGCCGTGGCAACGCAGCTTCAGGGGAAGGAGGGTAGACGCGCTTCTGACACCCTGCACGCCCTACATAATTGAAATAAGAATATTTACAGGGTTTTCATTTGCAAAAAAATGAAAGTTGCTTTATTAGATTAGACATGTTGGGCTCGCCAGAGCATAGGCTTTCCTCAGAGGCCAAGCTGGCCTCATCGGGCTTCTCTTCGCCACTTGTTCTATGGTGAGGAGTCTTCTGCACTCCCTCAGCAGTTGGAGTGCTGGGCTTCGAGACAGCAGTGGTTTCTTGCACGGAGCAGGAACCTGTGTAGGGCCTGCTGGTGACCAGCGGTGCTTCTTTCTTCAGAATGTTCCCTCAAGGAAGAGGCTGGGAGGAGAGAAAAAGACAGGTTACCTACCTGTCACTGTGGTTTCTTGAGGGGTCATCTGTGGAGTCACACTGATGGGGAACCTGCACATGCGCAGAGTCTGTCTGAAGCACTCCCAAGTGGAGTGGTTCATTGTTTGCACATGTGCAACCATATGCACATTCATTTTTTTGCACATATGCAACACGGAGACCTTTGTTCCCATGCACCAAAGTTAGATGAAGCACCGCATGGAGGTTTGGGTTTGTAGTGTGACTCAACAAATGATCACTTGAAGAACCACAATGCAGGTAGGCAACCTGTCATTCTCCTTTGTGGTCTTTGCAGATCACATGGATGGGAGATTGTAGGCTGACATAGGCAACCTTGCAAATGTCGTGAAATGGAGCTCCGTATAAGGTTGCAACAGCAGTGGCCAGTGGCTTTCTAGATTCTAGAAGGACCTCTAACAGTTGAGGAGGGGACACCTTCGCAATCCTGTAGACAAGGTGAATTGTCAGTGGGTGGCTCTCTGGGAGGAGACTGGTACAGTATTTCTTGCTTTTGACTGCCATCACAGAGAAAAAGGTGTGATGGTGGGGTACAGGAGAGGTAGGAGCGGGATGGATAAAAATCAACAATTTTTAAATCACAATTTAAATGGAAAAAAACCACACCTTTTTAAAAATTAAAAATGGTCAAAAATCCAATTTTTTAAATTTAAATAGCAATTTAAATCAAATCCACCCCAAAGGCTACTTGCTCTCCTCACGTCCAAAGTGTGAATTGTTCCAAGGAAAAATAAGGATTTTTTTTTGGGGGGGGAAGGGTAGAAGGTGGAAAGATACAGTTTTAGGCAGAAAAGAAAAGGGCTGCGCCTGCGCATCACGCCTCCTCCTGCGAAAGGCGGGAAGAGCGCCTTGCCTTCGCCTTTGGCTGTGCGCGCGGCTACCCGCGTTGCCGTGGCAACGCAGCTTCAGGGGAAGGAGGGTAGACGCGCTTCTGACACCCTGCACGCCCTACATAATTGAAATAAGAATATTTACAGGGTTTTCATTTGCAAAAAAATGAAAGTTGCTTTATTAGATTAGACATGTTGGGCTCGCCAGAGCATAGGCTTTCCTCAGAGGCCAAGCTGGCCTCATCGGGCTTCTCTTCGCCACTTGTTCTATGGTGACGAGTCTTCTGCACTCCCTCATCAGTTGGAGTGCTGGGCTTCGAGACAGCAGTGGTTTATTGCACGGAGCAGGAACCTGTGTAGGGCCTGCTGGTGACCAGCGGTGCTTCTTTCTTCAGATGTTCCCTCAAGGAAGAGGCTGGGAGGAGAGAAAACGACAGGTTACCTACCTGTCACTGTCGTTTCTTGAGGGGTCATCTGTGGAGTCACACTGATGGGGAACCTGCACATGCGCAGAGTCTGTCTGGAGCACTCCCAAGTGGAGTGTTTCATTTTTTGCACATATGCAACCATATGCACATTCATTTTTTTGCATATATGCAACACGGAGACCTTTGTTCCCATGCACCAAAGTTAGATGGAGCACCACATGGAGGTTTGGGTTTGTAGTGTGACTTGACAAATGATCACTTGAAGAACCACAGTTGCAGGTAGGCAACCTGTCGTTCTCTTTTGTGGTCTTTGCAGATCATATGGATGGGAGACTAGGCTGACATAGGCAACCTTCCAAATGTCTTGAAATGGAGCTCCATATAAGGTTGCAACAGAAGTGGCCCGTGCCCTTCTAGATTCTAGAAGGACCTCTTAACACCTGAGGAAATTGCCATTCGTGACTGGTGATGGCACCCTGCTTAGGGTTTCCATAAGAGTATTGGCAGAGCCAGCAAGGAAAATTGAGATGGGGAAGACAGAATTGGTGATCCACCACATCTAGAGCTGAAGAGTGAGGCAGAGTAGGAGGGACAAACATGTGCCACCCTGCTTGTTTAGATAATGCATAGCACTCATGTTGGTCACTACTTGGACTGTTTGACGTCAGATAAGCAGGCATAATGTCCAATACTTTGCTGTATCAGTGCCCGAGCTAACTCTCCATATGCCTAACATCACATTTTGTGCTATTTTTTACTCCCCTCTTCACCAAAAAAATATGGGAATTGTGCTAAGAATTCTGGTAAAAAACCCATCCCCCAACAAAGACAGAGAGTTGTCCAGAGAGACAAAACATAAGGACAATAAGAAAATCCTTAATTCAGACTTCAACATATCAGTTTTCCAACATCCTGAAATGGTATAAACATTCATGTATTTTTATTTTTAAAAAATATTTTAAACCCCCCACCCAATCTCCTTAAACGTGGTGACACTGTGAGTTAAACCGCAGAAGCCTCTGTGGTGCAAGGTCAGAAGACCAGCAGTTGTAAGATCGAATCCACACAACGGAGTAAGCTCCTGTCGCTTGTCCCAGCTCCTGCCAACCTAGCAGTTCGAAAGCATGTAAAAATGCAAGTAGATAAATAGGTACGACCATGGTGGGAAGGTAACAGCGTTCCGTGTTTAGTTGCGCTGGCCACGTGACCACAGAAACTATCTTCAAACAAACGCTGGCTTTATGGCTTGGAAACAGGGATGAGCACCGCACCTTAGAGTCGTACACAACTGGACTAAATGTCAAGGGAAAGCTTTACCGTTACCTATCAAAAAGTACCCAAGGCAACTTACATCATTAAAATACAGTATTTAAAGTTAACAATGGTGAGTATAAAAATACAAAAAGGATCAAATACCATACTAAAAAACTTAACGCCAAAACACATTCAAACCAGCTTAATTTACATATTGTGTGCTATCAAATCACTTATGACTTATAGCAACCTTAAGAATTTTTGTTCTCCAAAACCTATCATTCACAATTTGCTCACTCTTCCAAGAAGGCCATCACTTCCTTTATCAGAACAATCCATGTAAGGTCTTCCTCCTTCCCTACTGCCTTCACATTTCCCAGGATTGTCTTTTCCAATGATTCATTGTCCAAGGCATGGTAAGTTCAGTTTAGTCATTTTAGGTTCAAGTACAAATTTAGGCTTGATTTGATCTAGAACTAGCATATTTGTTTATAGTCAGGAAGCAGGAGCAATTTGCTTCCACATCAGTCTGCTTGGGTACGGCCCCACTGGGTAAGCAGAATATTTATGAACAAATCTGATTAAGTTCCAATTTCCTACAACTGCAGTTTAAGTACTCTAGGAGTTTCATGGTTCATGATTTTCTCAATATTCTTGTTTTCCTTATCACTGTGTATATGTCCATGCTGAAGTGTTAGTTTGCTAGGAAATAGATCCAGTAAGGCAGGGGTCCCCAGATGTTCTTAGACTACCACTCCCAGAAGCCTTCACCACTGGCTGTGCTGGCCAGGATTTCTGGGAATTGTAGTTCAAGAACATGTGGGTGACCCAAGGTTGGGGACCACAGCAGTAAGGCATCGAGTTAGTTACTTTGTGACCGGAATGTTATTTTACATTGACCTTGCCTTCCCTCTGATGACTTTGATGGAGACAGCTAGCTGATTGTTGTTCAGTGATTTTTACTGTATGGCTGCTCAAACCTCATTTTGTTAAAGAACAATGTACATTTTTCAGGGTTGCATTTTTTACACTCCTCTTAGTTATTTTAGCATTCTATACATAACAACATTTCCAACCCTGACTCCACTTCTACATCCGTATGAAGAAACTGGGAACACCAGAGTGTGAATGGTCTTGGCCTAAAGTATCATACCATATTTAAGCTATGCTTTAAGCAGGTTGTTAAAGACTAATTACATGCTAAGCAATATAGGAGTTAAATTCACTCCAGCACTTTTACTGTTCTCCAAAATGCTCAGCACAAAGTTCCATAATGAAGAAGGGTGGACTTCCGTCAGATGAGGAAAGTAGTTAGAAAGAAGTTGAAAGGGAAGATAAAAAGAAACCAATCTCTCCAGAGTGCATGGAGCCTGTTTAAAGCAACAGTAGTAGAAGCTCAGCGGAAGTGTATACCGCAAAGAAAGAAGGGCTCAACTAAGAGGGTGCCGGCATGGTTATTGAGCCAAGTTAGAGAAGCTTTGAAGGGGAAAGAGGGGTCCTTCCATTAATGGAAATCCTTCCCAAATGAGGAAAATAAAAAGGAACACAAACTCTGGCAAAACTAATGTAAGAAAATGATACAGAAGGCAAAGAAGGACTTTGAGGAACATATGGCCAGCAATATAAAGGGGAATAATAAAACCTTCTTTAAATATGTTAGAAGCAGGAAACCTGCTAGAGAATCCATTGGCCCTCTGGATAGTGAAGGAGGGAAAGGGGAGGTAAAGGGTCTTGGAGACTGCAGAGAAATTAAATGAGTTCTTCAGATTCCGCTGCCCGAATGGCCCTCCTGACTAATGAATTAAATCAGATACAGGTTAAAAGAGAGAATGTTTTAAACCTAATTGATAAATTGAAGATCAATAAGTCAACGAACCCAGGTGGCATCCACCTAAGGGTTATTAAGGAACTGAAAAATGAAATTGCTGATCTCAACTAAAATATACAATTTATCCCTTAAAGTGGACACAGTGCCAGAGAACTGGAGGATAGCACATGTCATGCCAATCCTTAAAAAGGGAAGAAAGGGGGACCCAGGAAACTACAGGCCGGTTAGCCTAACGTCTGTTCCAGTGAAGATGGTGGAAAGCCTCATCCAAGATAAAACCTTAAAACACACAGAAGAACAAGCCTTGCTGAGGGATAATCAGCATGGCTTCTGTATGTCTTGCTTCATAAAATTATTAGAATTCTTTGAAAAGGTCAGCAAGCATGTGGATGCAAGCGAACCAGTGGATATTGTCTATCTGGATTTTCAGAAGGCGTTTGATGCGGTCCCTCACCAAAGGGTGCTGAGAAAATTCCACAGTCAGGGAATAAGAGGGCCGGTCCTCGTATGGATTGAGAATTGGTTAAGAACCAGGAAGCAGAGAGTAGGTATCAAAGGGCAAATTTCTCAATGGAGAGGTGAAAAGCGGTGGTACCCCAGGGACCGGTGTTTTTCAATCTGTTCACCAATGACCTAGAGACAGGGATAAGCAGTGAGGTTTGCAGATGACATGAAACTTTTCCGGGTGATAAAGACCAGAAAGGATTGTGAAGAGCTCCAGAAGGATCTCTCCAAACTGGGAGAATGGGAGGTAAAATGGCAAATGTGTTTCAATACAGTATAGGAAAATGTAAAGTAATCAAAACTTTAGTTATCAGCTTTCGGATCTGTTTGTGATGGATCAGGAAAAAGATCTTGGTGTGCTGACGGACAGCTCGATGAAAGTGTCAACCCAGTGTGCGGCGGCAGAAAAGAAGGCCAATTCCATGGTAGGTATCATTAAAAAAGGGATTGAAAATAAAACAGCCAACATCATAATGTCATTGTACAAAACACTGGTAAGGCCACATCTGGAGTACTGCATACAGTTCTGGTTGCCGCACCTCAAAAAAGGACCTATTTGACATTAATTACTTGAATTAACAGGTCTTGAGAAGTCCAATTCATTTGTTAATGAACCACTGTCATTTTGTCATGGTGTGAGGGGGCTGCCTCCAGCACCCGCAGAAGTCTGTCTGGCCATACCCCACAAGCCCAGAGGAGCCAAGGAGAGAGTGAGTCTCCTGGGCCCTTAGATGGTGGGAATGCACTAACACAGGTGCAGGACAATAGGAGGAGGAAGACATGAGACAGGGCAGTCAAGTACTGGGACCCCATCTTCTGTGCCTAAATGGAGATGCAAATGGACAGAGGACAAGTGGAGCCACCTCCTCTTGTTCAGCCCATTCAGCTGGGGAAGGGATCTGGCACTAGAGGCTCTGACAACACAACCCCAGGCTGTTTCAGTGCCATCTCAGTCTTGGCCTCTTCACCACCCAAGAGGAGCTACACCTACCCCAACCCAGCTTGTGCTGGAGATGAAAGCAGCAACTGGCATGGCCAGGGAAGCTCCCAAAGAAGAAAGGCTGCTAAGCAACTCATTTTTACTAGCCATCCCTAAAAGGGCTTCACCCCAGACTGGGACTCATACTTCCCACCTCCCTCTCTAGACTGGCTTTCAGGGACTCCACTTCAGTCAACTGGGGTCCCCGTTGGACTGACTGTGCGCAAGGGGTAAGAGTATGAACTCAACCTCCTGCGAACAAGAAGGAAGGGGCAGTACAGGCTCTGTGGCTTTAATAAAAGCCGCCATGAGTAATAAAACCAGGCTGGAACCCATGGAATTTTTGACCAGGGACTCCTCAGCTGCTGGGTCCCTGGGAAATGGGGTTGACAGGACTCATACATGAGGATACAGATAAATATAGAGATCATGTATTTGCACTTCCTCTACCTGGGGAAGTGGATTTTGATCTATAAAAGCCCATACTGAAACAAATCTCTTAGTTCTAAAAGTGACAACAACATTTTGCTCCGTCTCTCTTTTTTCATTTGATTTTCCTGACATCCTTTTTTCGAAATGCCTTTAGAAATCCATCACAATATACTTAAATTGCAGTTCCGTCAAGTCAGAATTCCAACAGAATACTTTAAATGAAGCTGAAAAATACATTTTGTTAAAAAGTTTATTTGCAAGTCATGTCACACAGTTGACCCAACTTTGCAACTCTCAGAATCTCTCCCCCATTAGTTTTTAACAGAAAAGACAGACTTAAAATTGTCCTAAAAGGGTTTCTCACTGTACATTCCAAAACATTTCAGGGTACATTTCCTGATCTCATCCCTAAAAAGTTTTTTGTGTAAGAGTTTTTCGTCTTGTTTTTTTAGCATTCTTGCAAGCAGATCAACATACAGAAGAAAATGGGGAGTATGTGTGTATGTCTTTGAAACACCTCTTAGCAATAAATTAATCAGGCACACTGTTCTTTTTGTATATACTGTATTCTAGAAGCAACCATTCCAAATACTTTGAAATATCTATCAAAATTTCCCCTGATTTATAATGGTGCTATTATTGACATATTATGGACATATGAAAGGAAAAACTTCACAGGAGAGAAAAAAACATAACTGAGAAGTAACTAACATCCTCAGTTATAATTATACAAAATTTGAAATGTGTCTATAGTGTATACAAACCTGCATGATCAGAATCTATGCTTCCACAACAGTTACTCAGTCTCTTTACAAAGTCCACAGTTCTGATTAAGTCCAACAGCAATCCTATGCTTTTATAAACTGCTATGATGATGATGATGATGAAGAAGAAGATGAATAAGCAGATTCTGGAATTGCACTTCCCATTACTATACTGTTCCTGTCAGTTAACGTTTTAGCAACAGATGTAGCTGGAGCCTGAAGCACTTTCCGTGAAAGTCTCATTCTGCCATCAGCTGGATCTCGTCCAAAATATTTCACCTGATCACAGGAAGAAATGAGATTGATCTCAGCCTGTGGTAAGGTTACTGTTTTAATTTGTAGGTACAAAACAGAGATAATGGTTTGAAAACCCCATTGGTGAAAACTTTTCTCTGAAGACACATGTGACGTGTATATAGTAATTGAGGATTCCTCTCTAAATGTCTAGATCAGTCACACAAACGTGGAAACCCTTGTGCAGGTAAGTCTTTGTGATTTTTTAAAAATTTTTTTGCTCTGAATGAGGTTTACATGACATGTCCCAAACAGAATGGTGGAAAAACTGGCCTCAATACAGAGTGGAATCAGAAACGGAGAACGCTATCCAAAGGTACGATGTTGAACCACCTTATTAGCCAGTTGTTATTTATGGCCACCAATGGTCTTCTCTCATGCAAAAACACATTTGGAAAAGAGGTTTTATCTTGTTTGTACTTTAGTAATGCAAAAGAGAGCCAGTATCATGGAGCAGACAGAATGGGATCCTGTATTCAAATCCCCACTCAACAACAGAATCTTAGCAGGAGGTGTCAATAACAAACTGATAATCTCACGTACCTCAAAAAGATTATTAAGGTTGCCATAAATCAGAAACAACTTGGCAACACATAATAACAACACTGAGAAAAGGAACCAGGATTTAGCCTGCTGTTTGGAAGAGACTTCTGCTATTTCTTTTCTTCCCCAAAACACAATGACAAAAACAAAACAAAACAAAACAAAAACCTCTAAGCAGGGGCCTATTTCTTTTCTTCCCCAAAACACAATGATTAAAAAAAAACCAAAACAAAAAAAAACCTCTAAGCAGGGGTTCTGTCTGAAAGAACTGGCTCCTGGCATCTCAATGAATAGGTTTGTGAACGTCTAGAGTCAAATTTCCTGGCATCTCAATGAATAGGTTTGTGAATGTCTAGAGTCAAATAGAATGGCTGAAATGCTGTTGCTTAGCATAGTAAGTTGTAACTAGAATAAGGCCCATTGAATCAAAGAAACTTCCAGAGGAGCTGACTCACCAAATCACCCCTGATTCAATGGGCTTACTCTAGTTGTTACAACACTAAGCAACAGGATTGCAGCCATTGTCTCCTACCATGCCGCCTCATCCTACCAGTGTACTTCAAAGATAACAGATGGATATTGTAGTACTAAATGATCACACACCTAATGAGATGCCAGATTTGCAAAAGGTAGTAATTTCTGATTTGGCTTGTTCAGTCACAGATTGAAGTAATACATCCTTGCCCTCTTTAAAAAAAAATCAAAGACCCACATAGATTTTTTTTTATGTTTTACAGGTTTAAAACATTACCTGAATTTCTTGACCAACTTCCAACCCAAGAGCGCTAGGATGCTTGATCTAGAACAGAAGGTTCCAATTATGAAATTTGTTTTTAACCACTTGAGCATGTTTTCAACCCAACAGAAAAGATAACAAAAGCACTTGCTGTGACATTCAATTCAACTGAAGGACAACTGATTTCCAAATATTATGTCTCTCATTTGTGTGATATTAGCATGCAATTGCAAAATTTCCTAAGTAGCCATCAATGCAATTGCAAAATTTCCTAAGTAGCCATTATGGAGTGGTCGTTTCGACCAGATAGGCGGGAAACAAATAGAATGAATGAATGAATGAGTGAATGAATAAATAAATAAATAAATGGACAGAATTCTTTTATGTGAACTTATATAACATAAATAAAGGCATGGGGAACAAACTTTAAAAGTATAAATTTACGAAGTTAATAATGGCTGCTTAATCTGACTGTTCTCTGTTAGGACCTCCCCAAAGTGGGTCTTTCTTGATCCACAGGCACAAGTTCACATAGTTAATGCTACATTTCTGGCACAGAAATAGCACCAATCATAAGAGGCAACTTAAGTACTGTATAACAAAATACCTTTCTTTGATCCAGTTGGGAGTTGTGAAGTAAAACAGGAGTCATATTTGGATACAATTCTACCATTACACCAGAATCTCTGCATAGAAAAATGAAACTCGTATTAGTTCAGTAGGACATGACAGAAGGAAATGCACCCGTATAAAATGCTCTTTAACAAAGCTAATCCCATTTCAATCCTTATTGTCTTCTATAAAATGAACTAATTTTATCTAACTGTATAAGAATCTTATTTATGATGTATTGCATCCTTCCTAACCAGGTGCTTGAATTAAGAGATAGTAGAATTTGTTACTCCTCCATTCCCTAATTCCTTTGTGTGTGGCTACAATAGCAAAGTAATTCCCTAGTCATTTTACAAAAATTAGTGGTTGACCAGTATGCAGGATCAGTCCATCATGAGGTGAGGGTCTTATCAGACTAAAGATAAGCTCCATTAAGATACTTACACATCCTTTCTTTACTGCACTTCTAATCCCATCTAAGATGACAGACTGTAAGTTGCCGCCTATGCTGCTTTAAAACAATCTCTTTACCAGCTGAATGCAGAAATTCCCCCGCTATAATTAATTAGAACACACCACTAGCTTCAAACTTCTGTTTTGTGACTTCTTCAATCATATATATCAGGACCAAAACAAAAGAAAAAACAAAGACAAAAACATTGTAGTACCTTAAGGACTAAATGCTGTAAGTCCACATCCTCATAAGTTTGTTTCTGCCTGACATGCTAGCTCAAGACTTAATGAAATAAGTGCCTATTTAAGAAACGGTTTAGTTATGTACAAAAAAGCTGAAAAGACTATTTCCAGAGATTGTGTATAAGTATGTATGTGTATACACAGACAAACAAACACACACACACTCTACTACATCTGACCATCTTTGAAATATAGTTTTGGTTACCTCAGTTCAGTAATCGTGGCTGTATAAATAGCTCCAAATTCCAACTTGTAATCTTGCTGTGGAAAAAGAGAAAGGATAAGAAAAATTCATAAGCAGTAAAAAACATGACAAACCTATACACAGTTGAAGATCTAAAAATTAGTCCTGCAAATCCAGGGCTTCCTCAGCCTTCCGCTTCCGAAAAAGAGACCAGCTTGTAAGTCCTTTAAGTGTTTGATATGGCATGGAGGAAGCTGTTCAAAGAAAAATTCAGAGTTCTGCACGGGGCTCCCAAGAAAGGTTTTCATTTATTTACAGTAGCTCTTTGGATCCTAGCCACTGATTCAAATGCTGTAAGGTCACTTCTACACAGGACCATAAGGTGGGAAAAGGAAGGTTCTTATCTTAGATCCTAGGGAATCACTGAGTCTCCAGCCCCTGTCAAGACACAGTGGAGAGTCAAACTCCCAACCTCTGGCTCCACAACCAGATAGCTAAACCATTGAACTATTTTGCATACAAGAAAGATCCCTGCCCTGAAAGGCAGATAGAAACTTTTCCTCATAAAGATAAACATCTAAAGTTATTAAATTAAATTATTTAAACCTGAAATGTTATTATTGAATATCATGCCAAAAATTACTGACAATAAAATACAGTAGTGCCTCGCTTAACGAGCGCACCGTATAACGATGAAATCGCATAGCGATCCGTTTTTTCGGATCGCTAATGCGATCGCTCAACGTTTTTCCAATAGGGGAAAATTCGCTTTGCGAAGACCGGTAAGCGTTTCGCTTACTGATCTTCGCAAAGCGAACCCCGACGATCAGCTGTTCGGCGGCCAAAATGGCTGACGGAAGCCTGGAAATGGCCCAAAATGGCCGCGCACAGCGTTTTCGCGCCCTCGTTAAGCGAGGCGAGGGCGCGAAAATGGCTGCCGGCCATCCTGAAGCATCGCTGAACGGTGAGTATTTGGCCCATTTGGAACGCATTAAACCATGTTTAATGCATTCCAATGGAAATCCCTGCCCCGTTCAGCGATGCTTCAGCATAGCGAAGGTTAATCCGGAATGGATTAACCTCGCTATGCGAGGCACCACTGTAAAATATAGTCTACTGTGTATATTCACAGCAGCTAGGTTACACTGGGTCCCAAAATGGAAGAATGTAGAGACACCAACGATGGATGAGTTCTTAAAGAAGCTATTGGACATTGCCGAACTAGACATGCTTTCAGAGGCACTACGGGATCAATCAAGAGACTTTGTAAAGCAAAGCTGGAAGTTGATATATAATTGGGCCCAGAAAAAGACAGGAACTTGGGGGAGGGAGAGGGAAATTACTCTATAGCGAATCAGTGCTCACTGGAATCCCTTGAAGATACTCTGATGAACAGATGACGGTGAAATCTCTGATCCACAGGGGAAGGACGGATGTTTAGTTGTGGATTTTTTGGTTAATTATTTGTAAAATAATTTCATGTTTTTTAAGTTTGTATTTTTAGACATGAATAAAATGTTTAAAAAGTGTTATTAAAAGCAGACCCTTACGTCATCTTTGCAGATTTCAGTAATAAATTCTTGTGCTTCGTGCATAGCAGCTGGTATCGGAGCAAATACAGAAAAAGTTTCTTCGTCTATTTGGGTCACAGTTACTCCTTGGAATAGAAAAGTGCGTAGAATTAATATTTATTCTAAAAAAAAATCCTGAGCTTTATACACTAAATGTTAAGCTACTAAACAGGAGTGCAGTTGATATATTGTAAATAAATAATAACCCAGTCTCTTGCACAGCATCCAGAGTTCAGTCAGAAGCTCTGGAAAGTCCACCCTTTCTATAACGAATCCCGCTTCTGACCATTTACCAAATTGTTCAAATGATATCTTGGCTTCCCATTTTAACCAAACTTTGAACCCAGCTAACTTGGGGAACCCTGTTGTTGAGGCTAAGCCAAGCTGGGGAGGGATGGGAATTACTCAAGACAGGGCAGAATGTTTTCCTCCTTTGCACACAGTGGGGGTGGGTAGTCTCAGTTGGGCCAAGGGCCCTTTCTCAGGTTTAGCAGCAATCCGAGGGCTCCCTCCCCAAAAGGGAAGAACTCAAGAGGAATGGTGCAACCAAAGAATCTAAGCTGCTCATCTGATGTGGTCAAAAAACAACAATAATGGAAAGGTTATGGACTGTAAAAGTTGCTTTGTTAACTGAAAAAAATTGGGTTAATTTAAATATATATACATTTAAATGAACGCTGCCTTGTTCCCTTCTATGGTCAAAAATTATTCTTTTAAAACATTGCACATTTGGAAGGGATTTGGGGGCCCAAGGAAATACTGGGACCTTTTCTGAAGACGTGGTGAAATTTACCCCTCATCCCCTAGAAGAGCTTCAAGGGGACTTTTTGAGCAATTTTCCTGCAAATTTTTAAAAATCAGGAGATGGAGATTTGCTGGCTGGGTGGGTGGGTGGAGTCACAGAAATGCTACAGAAATAGTCCTAGGAACCACACATGGCCTGAAAACCTCACATTACCATTCCTGTGCTATAGTCTAATTCTTTTCTAGTCTATTTATATTCGCGAAGGCTTTCACAGCCGGGATCTAATGGTTGTTCTGGGTTTCTCGGGCTCTTTGGCCGTGTTTGTTGGGCTCTTTGGCCAACTACACCAGAGCACAGGCTGCTGTCCTCTGAAGATGCTGGCCACAAAGACTGGCGGAACGTCAGGAAGAACAACCTTCAGAACACGGCCAAAGAGCCCGAAAAACCCAGAACAACTCTTTCCTAGTCTGTTTCTCTCCACTTGAAAACAGTCTCCTTTGCAGCAAGATAAACCACAACCCATCATCACCAGAACATGGAAACCTTTTTTGGCTCTTGTTGACTCCAGTGTGTACTGTTCAACTATAAAACATTTCATGGGGAAAGTGACTGTGTTTTAGGTCTGTTAAGACAAGGGTGCCTTGGCAGCTGCAAAAAACAGAAACCATTTCTGTCACATGCTGTTGTTGTTTGGCACTGTCAAGCTGCCTCTGATTTATGGCAACCCTATGAATGAATGACTTCTTAATGATCTTCTCAATAGCCTTGCTCTTGCAAACTCAAGGCCTTACAATCAATATGGGTCATATTTCCTCTCTTCCTGCTGCCTTCAACATCTCCTAGCACTATCATGTGTATCAGCTACATTGTTTACTCATTCATTTTATTAAAATATGTCCTATATCTGAATATCTCTGACCAAGATATGAGAAAAAGCTTCGCTCCATCTGTAATCTTGCCACCTGCCATCTACCTCTTTTCTTCACTTTGTCAAAAGAAGCAGTCGTCACACACAATTCTTCTAATGAAACTGCTGTATTGTTTAACATATTTCCATTGATTTTTGAGTCTTGTTTCTCATCATCCAAATTCCACAATAAATCGTAAGTCTTAATGTTATTAAAACTGGGCATCTCTTCATGGTATGGCAACGGGGATTAACTAGTAACACCGTGAGACCACTTAGGTTTGGCACTCATCAACTCTGATGTGTTCTCTTCCCACTTCAATTTTGTAGATTGAACATCGAACCTTCTTGGCATTCCCCCTTTATCAAGCCATGAACCGTTCTCCGTCGGGGTCTGAAGGCGCTGGGCCCACTGGATGTCCCCGGACTCACTATATATCTCTGCCTTTCTCTTCTCCCCCTTTTACCCAGGCTTTGCATTCTTTCCTTTGCTTTCTCTCCTCAGTCTCCCCCCCCCCCCCACCCCAGTAAGGTGGCTTTCTATACATCTGCCATCTCCATTCCTTTTCAGCGTACTCACGGGGCACTTTGAATTCCACCCACTCTCTTCTGTCCAAGGGCCTTCTTGGATCTTCTTTCTCCTCTCTTCCCCAACATGCTTCTAGCTTTCCCCCACCTTCTTCCCCCTTTCCTCTTTTCCCACCTGATGTGCCTCTTCCTTTATTTCTAATTTACTTAATTCCCTTTCTATCACTCCCGTCTCTTGCTCTTCTGTCTTTGTTTGAACGTCGGACAGCACACTCTCCTGATCCTGGTTGAGGTGATGGCCTCACACCATCAGAGAGTTCACTTCCTTTGTGTGTCTGCATCTTCAGGGTTGCTACATGAAGAAAAACCCATGCCCAGCAGAAATGAACATAGTATAGTAAATGTACGTATCTTAATAATGGAAAACTCACCAGTTTCAGCCTGAAGTTTCTTTAAATTATATCCTCCAGGGCCCATGAATCTTGCCCTTTTCGATAAAGGTACCTGAACAGTTTCTGAAATGCAGAGGTTCAAGTTACACCTGCACTGTGATAATGAGATTATGGGGCCAGTTTGCTGTAATTCACCCACTCTTCCTGGCTCAGTAAACAAACGTTCATATTTTGAAGCCTGAGATTTATTCCCTGGGGTCCCATCAGTTTCTTCTTCTCAAAGGAGTGCTTCCTATGAGTGAGCCCTGCTAGCAGGATGTACCTGCTGGAGAGGATTCTCACTAGTTCTCCTTCCCACGACATCCCTAAAGCACTACACAGGCTGACATAACTCTCCAGAAGAGACTCCTGGGTCACAATAGCCACAATATCTCCTCCAGGTACAATCCCAACAACTTTCTGGTCATGACTGAGAGAGCCCTAAACAGCTCTGGAGTTAGGAACAGATAACTGAGAGTCTGCCTTCTCCTATACAAGCCTGCCTAGGCTTCAAAATCCTTCTGAGAGGTCTTTTCCTGTGCCCAACTGACCTCTGACAGACCTCTTGTGGGAACTGAAGAAACAGTCTTTGCATTGACTGTACTCAGACTGCATCTTTCCCTACTGAAAGATGTTTCTTTAATATACATTCTTTCAGAGACAAACCAAACAGTCAGTCTCCCTACCACCCAATTCCCCCAGTTAGATGTGTGCATTATTACCGACGAGCGGTCCATTTTCCTTTCTCTTCGCTCTGGGATTAGCAATCGTTTTGTTCATGATTTGCAAGATCTCTTTCTTTGCCACTATGGGGGAAAAAGAAGAAAAGACATTTCTAACTCAAATAAAGAAAATACGTTGGTTAACAGGGAAAGTGGCCTCTTTCTTTTGTTAAGCTTCTTTTGTTAAGCTCCTAACATGACTAACCAAGCCAACCTTTGTAGCAAAGGAAAGCTCTGAGGCACTTTTCAGGACCTGTATTAAACAAAAAGCAAAGTTTCCAGTCCTATGCTTCGTATGGGCATTAAGAGCAATGAATTTTTGTATCCAACTCTGTGTATTATTTTCAGGGCTTTTAAAAGCCTATCTGCCCCCAGGGAAAGGATGTCAGATTTCAAACAGCTTAAGCCCACTGTGCAATAAAGCACTCTTACTTCAAAACCCCTCTTTTGTTTCTTATGCTATTTTCTTGTCTTTTATGGCTACACACACACACACACACCTTTCTGATACACACACACACACACAGACACACACCTTTCTGATTTTTTTTTCAAATAAAAAAAGATAAGTGTTCAAGGTTAATTGCAATATCCTCACTACCACCTAAATACTGGGTCTGCACAGAAAAGACAAGCACTTCACATTTATTTCAATAAATTCCCCGATACTGTTAGTTACATCTGGCTTTGCATAAGCCATTGGCTGGGTTTTCTACAAGTAGGCAAGACAGCAGATACAAATAAAGCAAAAATCCTTTCCTCAAAGAAAGGAGAGGAACTTTCTTTCTTTAGAAACAGCAAGCATGCTGGATGACACAGTTCACTAGCCATAAGCCACAGTTTGTCTAGAAGAAGAAACAGACTAGGATTCAAGATCAAGATCAAAGCAGATAATCAAAATTCAGAATTCAAAAAGAAGATTTCCCAAATGGAGGAGGCCTGCAACTTTAATCACTTTTAACTGGTAGGTAAATTAGCTACAATTTTAAGCTGATTAATTGCTAGAACTGCAACTGCAGGCACTTTTGGTTATTATAGCTTTCTAAAGGCTATTCTGCTTTAAGGAGGACAGAGATACAAATATGAATGAAAACATTAAATATGGTCTTTCAAGATAACAATGGCTGAAACTGAGTAGTAAATCACAATTAGAGTTGGCCGATTAAATCTGTGGGGAACTGATAAGTCAACTCCTTTGTACATTTCACTGATTCAGTGGGTCTAGTCTAATGATTTACTACTGGATTATAGCCAGTGAACAGTTAGCTTCTTTATTAAGTGTAAGTTCATACTCCAATAAGACATCAAATTAAAGTTTCATAATATGAAAATGTATTCCAATTTATATGATCAATCAATTGGCTTAAAGGGAAGTCATCCAAGCAATTAAAATCATTTAATGATTAAGATACTTGATACAATGGTAGCTTAACATTTTTATCTTATGTTATGTGCAAGGAATACCTCAGCACTATATTTGACTAATGAACAGTCTGTTGTCATATGCGGATCCTTTTTCCTCCTCTAATCCTCTATTTCAGAGCTCTGGGTTACACATTTATCAATACTGCCTACATTTTAAATCTCTGTGGATTATGTTAAGTCAGTCAATAACTTTTCGAACATTGTTAATTTTCTTTGTAGACCGGCCAAAAACCTGCTAGTTATTCCCACCCTTAAAGCACAGTTGGCCTAAATCTTGGTGGCAAATTGCTGCAAGCCAGTGTAGATGCTTGCTGTTGTGTAGCATGTCATGCAACCCAATGAACAGCAGCAAATGCCTACACAAATGCCTTAATTTGTGGCAATTCACCACTTATGCCAATTGTATTACAGGATTTTGTCCATTAAGATCTCTCTGCTTATCTAGAATCAGACGTCCAAGAGTCAACTAATATTACATCGCTAAGTTACTTACTAAGGAACAGAGCTATTTTCAAAAAAGGGGTGGATCTTTCCCCATGCATCAAAATCACTACTGCCATTCCCCTGAGATTTCTGTATTTGGAACAGGAGAATGGGAATGCAGAAGATCTGATTTAGGAGAGCATAACGTGGTGGCGCTGCGGGCTAAACTGCAGAAGCCTGTGCTGCAGGGTTAGAAGACCAAGCAGTCGTAAGATCGAATCCACGGGACGGAGTGAGCGCCCGTCGCTTGTCCCAGCTCCTGCCAACCTAGCGGTTCGAATATTTGGAACAGGAGAATGGGAATGCAGAATATCTGATTTAGGAGAGCATAATTTTAAAAACATTTTGGAGACATCAAGCATACAGTATAGTATATAGCATTGAAATACATGTCAATAAAATTGTGAGCATGTTTTTAGACACCCCCCTTTACTGCTGAATGCTTTTCTCTATGTTCTGTTGTGTTTATTCATTTTTCCTAGCCTCAACTTATTTAAAAGTTAAGACGAGATTGGTTTTTTTCTGTTAAAAAACTCCAATAAATGTCTGCAAATATGGTACCATGATTCAAAATACATCACAGTTGCCGCAGTGTGTAATGGCAGGCTCTCTATAGCCCAGTGCTTTATAACTCAGGTGTATGGATTAACAATATAGATACGTATTCAAAGCAAGATATTTTTAATGGGTTCAGATTAAGCACTAGAACAGTGGTGGTGAACTTTTTTGGGCCCGAATGCCCAAATGGGGGAGGGACCGCAGTGGGTGGCGTGCCGCAGCGGCAGAGCCAGAAGTGGTGGCAGAAGGGGGAATCCCAGGCACGGAAGTGCCTCGAGACCCCACTCCGGATCCGCTGCCAGAGCCAGCTGCTCCAGATCCTGACCCGCTGCCTCTCGAAGCACCATCACTGTAGCTGAAACCTCCTCCTGAAGTGTCTGTGGTGGGGGAGGAAGTAGCGATCCAGCGACTTACGGTTCACATGCCCATAGAAAGGGCTCTCCGTCACGCATGCCATAGGTTTGCCATCGCTGCATTAAACTGTGCATGAAGAAAGCTCAACCATGAAGTGTGGCATAGCTAGCAACTCTCACCAGCAATGTATTTTATAGCTCAAACTCACAAGCTAAAATAAGGAACCTAATTTGCCAGACAATACTGTTGTAATATTGGGACGTGGTGGCGCTGCGGGTTAAACTGCTGAAGCCTCTGTGCAGCAAGGTCAGAAGACCTGCAGCCATAAGATCAAATCCATGCAACAGAGTGAGCTCCCCTCACTTGTCCCAGCTCCCGCCAACCTAGTGGTTTGAAAGCATGCAAAATGCAAAAATGGGAGTAAATAGGTACCACCTCGGTGGGAAGGTAAACGGCGTTCTGTGTCTAGTTACGCTGGCCACGTGACCACGGAGGATTGTCTGCGGACAAACACTAGCTCTCTGGGTTGGAAACGGACATGAGCCCTGCCCCTAGAGTCGGACATGACTGGACTAAATGTCAAGGGGAACTTTTACCTTTTTACTGTTGTAGCATATAGAGATAAAAGCCTCTTATTTGGAAGGCCTATCTGCATGGAGTGCTACCTAAACAAGCAACTGAGTCTAACCTTGAGAAAAATCCTGCTCGTGCCAGCATAATGTAAAATTACGCCAGCAGGACTGCGCTTTTCAGTTGTGCAATTGCTTATACCTGCCTGACATGACCAGCTGTGCAAAATGTCCCCTTTGGTGTTACTGGCCTATCTGTCAGAAAATCCTTTATCCCTTTAGTGTTATTGCAACTGTTGTTGGCCCAACCTTGTGTGCGCACAGCTGTGCAACAGGATTTTGGCCAATCTACCTATGTATCAATCTTCTTTTACTTTAACAAGTCCCAGAAATAAGCCAAAAACTGAATTCTGTGCACCCTATAATTACCTGTGGCTTGCTGAACAGCTTCCATCACAATTTTGAGGGGTATTCCTGGTATCTTGATGTCAGCCTAATAATACAAAATGAAAGGATCTTAAATATTCTAACAAGAGTATTTTTTTTGCTAGAATATATTTTCTTGGAATTAAGGGGATCGGAAAATGATACCTGTAGAGCAGTTATTCCTTTATTTGTTCCAGCCATTTTGAAGTCCATGTCACCATAATAATCTTCTATTCCCTAAAAAACAAGTACATTTGAAATATCTTCCAAGACTAGAGGTTTCACAGACTAAACAGCCTTACATGCCAGTGCTGAACATATTAAATGGCTATAACATCTACTGCAACTTCCATTGCAGTTGGTAGATCAGTTTCTTTATAACTGAAGCCTATGCTGCCACAATCTTTACATAGGAAGAATCTCTCTAAATTCTGAATTTTAATTACTTTGGTGGAGGATGCTGATGATCTTAGCTGCAAGGTACAGATTTTCCAAACTACTATAATCTTAAATTAAGAAACAGACTCAGTAAGGAAGTCTTACCAGAATATCTGTTAGCAAACGATAATCTTCTATATCTCCATTGTTCTCAGAACTAGGCCTAGTAATTAAACCTATAGCCACACCAGCTACAGCAGACGATATTGGAACACCTGACAGTAAAAGAGAAAGATTTGACTTTTGATACTATTCTAATGCCATTTCATTTGCAAAGCCATACAAAATTCGAATTTATCTTTGTAAATTGCATACCTGCATCCATCAGTGCTAAACTCCCACCACAAGCAGAGGCCATTGATGATGATCCTATAGATACAGATTGTATGTTACACTGACAATCTTTTTAGAGTAGTTACCCCCCCACACACACAAATTAGCTGACTTACATATGGGTAAGTTTCCTGACAGCAAAATGGACATCTACAATTGTTGGACATCTACAGTACCGACAGTAGCCACTTTAAACTGGCAAACTGATTAGGTGTAAATTTGCAGGAGTTTTGAATTATAACATTAAATGGGCTAGAAACCTGTACAGTACTTTAAAGGGGAAAGAAAGAATAGGGGAACGTTATGCGAGGCACCACTGTACTTTAAAGGGGAAAGAAAGAACAGGGGGTCCATTATGAAATCTGCAAACTCCCTGAAATTTTAGCCTTCTTTAACTAAGTTACAGAGACATCACAAAAAGAACAGTCCTCTTCTCTTCTTTCCCTTGTATGGGTGGGTGGATGGATGGATAGGTACCATTTGATTCCAGAACTTCTGAAGTAACCCTTATCGTAAAAGGAAAATCATTGGGAATCACTGGCTTCAAAGCCTTTTCTGCAAGTGCACCTAAGGATTAAAAAAATTACAATAAATACAAAGAATATTTTCATTGCAGTGTAAATATTCTGCTTCCTTAGCTTCTACTCACCATGGCCAAGCTCTCTTCTATTTACACCTGAAATTTTGCCCGTCTCGTTAGTTGCATAAGGAGGAAACTACAAAAGAAAGAAAAGACTGTGTAATGCCCCTTTTCCACGAGTATTCATATTAAGGCAACCCTTCCCCAATTCATCAAGAAGTATAAAAATCTGCAGGCTATGAAATGTATTTAGTCATTTGCAGAGGAAGATGCAGAAGAGGTTAAACAAATTAATTTAACATTTTAAAAGCCACAACAAACAAAAGGAGAAACAGCTGTTTCTCCATTTGTCTGCTCAGGAAGAAAAACTTCTATCAAAACAAATGAGAAACACAGAACAAGGCGCATCAGCAGTGGGGGTTGTTTCCCTTTGTCAAAAAATAACGCATAGGCTATTGAAGGCTTACTAGAAAGGGGGTATGTATATACTATGAATGCTGCCTTTAGGCACAAAAACAGGTTTTTGATCCAGATTACATGTTTTGTTAAGAATATTAAAGCGGAGACAGCCTTAGGTTTTTAAGTAATTACATCTAATGATTAAGCACAGACGCTTTAAAAAAAATCTCAAGCAGAACAACGTCTATCATACCTCATAATGGAGCATGAAGTTCTTTTCTTTTATTCCGCTGAAAATAGAAATCAGTGTTATGTAAAGCTAGATAAGCTGCACATAATTTAATGCATCCATGAATAGCTTTATAAAGCTGTCTATCCTGTCTTTTCTTCGTGAATATGGGTGACTACACATGAGGTGTGAGTTATTTATCACAAGAGCCTGAGAGGTTTCAGTTTTAGAAGTGTTTCTTTCCAGTGAGTTGGGCCTGCAAATTCTTTGAAATCTTCAGAAGACATCATGCTTTAATTACAACCTAGCCGCGTTGCTCAATGAGCTAGGAAAACACGGTGCGTCCTTTTTGTGTAGGAAAAAAAAATCCCACATGGCTCATGTCCCAGGGAGCCCTGCATGACGTAACAGGGATCAGGGAGTCATCTGAGGCCACAGAATGCTTTTATATTGTTAAATTAAGTAGGTCTGAGCCTGACCTCTGGGTGCTTCAATGGGAAGTGATCTTGGATAAACAGGATTACACACACTCACATCTAGTGTTCAGATCTTAGGACAGCATATACATAAATGCATTATTTTATTGATTATTTTACTGATTATTCAATTAAGCATGTACTTTAGCTAGAAGTGGTTGCCTATGATATCAGAAAGCATGCAAAATAACACTTGCTCAAGTCATAAGTTAAGTGATATCAGAAAGCATGCAAAATAACACTTTTGCTCATGTCGTAAGTTACCAGCCATTGGTTAAACTCATATGCAACAGGAAACCAGCCTATGCCAACCCAGCACTCTCTAAATGCATCAGGCTGCAACTCCTAGTCAATGCAGCCAGTGGTATCTAGGCTGGAAAGAATGGGATCTAGAGGACGCCGGGCTGGAAAAAAATCAGCTGAACAATGATTTCATACCATGAGTAGAAAAGAGCTCATGTTTTCCGTCATTTTCCCTCAACACAGTAAGGAGGACCATGTCCGTTTACCCAAACCAGTGTCGGTTAAACAACAGTGTGGTTCTGATCAAATGCTACAAGACACATTTCTGAGGTTGGCTTGGTTATGTAACAGACAGGTCTTGTATATTATTTTGAATGGTAGGATTGGTCTGGATTCTTTCAAGAGAACATCTCAATTTTACTTCTGAGGAAGCCTGCACTGAACACACTAGGAACTTAATAGGAAGGAGACTGCCTTATACCAGGTCAGATCAGGTTTCCCAACAAGCAGCAGCTCTTTGCGGTCTCCAGCAGAGAACCTTCTAGAGTGGCTTCAGACTGAAGATGCCAGGGATGGAATCTGGGATTTTGTGAATGCCAAAACAAATGTTCCAGCCACTGCGAGATGGCTTCCCTTCACTTCCTTGAAAATGATGACCGAAGATCCCAAAGATACTACCCTTGTCAAAAGGGGTTGGAAAGAATAGAAATGGTGACAGGTACCTTATGGCGGTTGTAATGAGATCAGACTTCACACCTGATTCCAATGAATCAAATGTAACTGTACAGAGAACCTAGAAACACAACAAAGAAAAATATGGCTGTTTGGTGGCTGTAGGATGAAGGTAATGCAAAACACAGCTCCTCATATGAAGATCTGTGCTAACATCAAATGGAACTCAGATACGCAAGATGTCGGCATTTCAAGGTAACAACTTCAAGCTCCCTTCCCTGTGATTATTTGCTGGTCCACATGTTAGGTTTGCTGTGAGGTTTGCTATCCCTTTATTTTACATTACTTTCTAGTCCCATTTGATGAAAGTAACCCAGAAGGGGTGAAAACATTGGCAGGCAAAGTCTTCTGAACATCCTCTACAGAAGGAAGTCACCACCTGACTTGTGCTTCAGTTGCACAAGCCATGGAGACTGTTTGATGTGTACTATTATCTAACTTTTCATAGGTCACAAAAAGTTGCAGTCACATACACTTCTGAGGAACTGGTTTTCAGTGGAGAAGAAAAAAGGAAAAAAAAACCTAGAGCAAAAATAAAGTTTACCACCTGCTAATTTAAGCAGAGCAGCAGGTCTGATTCATAGACATTGCTATTTTAGGCAGTTTGCCCACAGGGACCTTTTCATTCACTGACATGCACATCCCACACACACCGCTTTTAAAAGTGATGCAGAGCATACGCAGTTAAATGTTATAAATATACACAGCGAAAGTTAGGAATGGCTCTACATTTCTGCAGTAACCCTAATTTTATTTCAAAATATTCTACAGTAGCTTAGAAAAGGACATGCACCAACATTTTTTCAAAAAAACAAAACAAAACACACCTATCAATCTAAACCGGGGGGTCTCCAAACTCTTCAGTGGGAGGGCCATATCATATATGCGCCACATTTTCAAGGGATTAAGGAAGATGCACATGTGTGTGTATGCACATGCACGTACACACTCCTGCCCATCTGCACTCGCACCCGCCCGCATGTACATACGCACGCCAGGCCGGATAAACAGGCTGGATGTGACTCATGGGCCGTAGTTTGGAGACCTCTGGTCTAAACAATTGCTTTTCCTAACTATGTGTATGATTTTGTGACTGTTTTATTATTTTGTTCTTATTGTTGTACTGTTTTTTCACTCAGGTTGCTCATCAGTAGCGTTTCCACTTACAAACAGTATTTCCATCCATTGCAAGATTGATTCTTTTTATCAACATTGCAGCATATCAAAAATCTCGATAAGGTAGGAATCTACCTCAGTGAAACACAGCTGTCGCAATGCCATCCTGCTCTAGTAGAGGCAGAGGTAAGGCTACCATTTACCACATTACAGCTTAATAGCTGGGGCTTATTGCACCAAATTAACCATGTCCAACAAGCAAAGAACTATATACTGTTAAATCATGGGTTCCCAACTTGAAGCTCGCAAACCCCAAGGAGGTCGCCAAGTATTTACTGGTGGATTGCCTTATGGTGTCTAACACAGAGATAAGACATTATAGAATAACTTGTTCGCTTACTTATAGGCATATGGAGAGAAACCCCTGGTTTGTTTAAAGCTTAAGGTTACATGGCTATTATAAAAGGGGGTTATGACTCCAAAAAGGCTGGAAAACACGTAAGTGATACGTAGGATCAAATAATGATCCTTGTCCCCCAAAATTATTATAAAAGGGGGTCATGACTCCAAAAAGGCTGGAAAACATGTAAGTGATACGCAGGATCAAATAATGGTCCTTGTCCCCCAAAACCTTGTTGGTCTCCAATTCTGTCATTTTGTTTCTTCATTGTCTTCGGAGCTCTTATTTAAGGATTTTGGGGTTTGCAGAGGGAGCCACATGTATTACAAGAGACTGGGCACAACCTTTCGCAACCAGCAGCCAATGGTCTTAAAAAACAGTTTTTTGTCACCCTGTGGAGGACGTGGGTTTCCTAGCTCCAAAGACATTTCAATAATTTGTGTGACTGGAAGAGACAGAGGCAAAGGATACCCTTGTTTTAGCCTTGAATCAGAACAGCTAAATATATATACCATATATAGAGAAATTAGTGTCTATAAGAGGGGGGAAAGAATATACTTCAGAAGGCCCTCCTTACACCTTTGTTAATACAAATATTCAGGGCAGATGCACTTTCATTTATTAACTTCATTCAAAACCATATAAATTTAAATACAACATTGAGTACACTGAGTAACCACTAATTTCTGAACAAAGCTAAGAACACACTTCGACCTCTTCTACTGAAATGACTACAATTGTAAAATTGCTGGATTGAACCCTGAGTTTATTTTATTTTATTGACTTCACTGAGTAAGATCATGAGTTCGTTTAGAAAAGGACAGCCAGCAATCCTTCGGAGTTTCAAAGAGATGCCTTCTTCTATTTGACATGAAGACTACGAGGAAATTAAACCTGAGACTTGATGCGTAAAATGCTTGGATTCAAACGTTGAGCAATGCATCTCCTTTCAGACTTTTGACCAGAATCCCTGACTGGTAACCAGAAATACAGAAAAGGAACTAAAATATACAGGACCATCATAAACAAACATCTTGCATACCCAGCCATTCTGAACTACATTAACATTTCAAAAAAGACCAAAAAATCCCCCACTGTACCTGGGTTTGACCTCTCTGAAATAATGCTGATCCATGAAGGGTTTTGAACAGGTCTATTTCACAGGATATATCTCGGAGTGACGTCAAGTCTCTGCCATCACACCTATGGGAATGAAGTCAAGAAACTCACAAACAGGGCAGTTTCCTGTTTGTTTAACTGTGACACACAGAAAATCTTCTAGTCTGATTTTATAAGCGTCTATTGCAGAGCCTAAACTTATAGATCCAATATGTGGCACGAAAGCAGGAATATGACTTGCCACTCTAGTTCCACCCCAAGAACAACATGCATTAAGTATCAAACTGAAATACAAGTCTTACACAGGATGTATTTCTAAGAATCTAACGTGTACAGTAAAACTGAAGGAGTATGACCATCATGCACATGCTGCTGGTGGGCAAGGTTAATCATAGGTAAAGGTAAAGGTTCCCCTTGACAATTTGTCCAGTTGTGTTCGACTCTAGGGGGCAGTGTTCATCTCCATTTCCAACCCATAGAGCTAGCGTTTGTCCGTAGGCAACTTCTGTGGTCACGTGGCCAGTGCGACTAGACACAGAATGCTGTTACCTTCCCACTGTGGTGGTACCTATTTATCTACTTGCATTTTGCATGCTTTCGAACCGAATCGCTGGGACAAGCGACGGGAGCTCACTCCAACGCGTGGATTCGATCTTACGACGCAGGTCTCCTGACCTTGCATCACAGAGGCTTCTGCGGTTTATCCCACAGCGCTACCATGTCCCATAGGTTAATCATAAGCTTGTGCAAAAGCCATCCTGCCTCTGCGCTCCTAGCACTCCTATTCTGTGGATGAACATGTTGCAATACAGTGACAGCACATCCCCTACTTACCTTCTATAATCTTTCAGAGTTAGATTTCTAAAGATTTCCTTGCAAACAACATTAAATGATTCTATGATCTCATAAGGCTCGGCACTTGGGAACTTCTCTATAGATAAGAGTAAAAACACAAGCTTCATGTAGTTATATTCCCAACAAAAACACACAAAGATACAGATAAAGATACAGAAAAATTCCCAAACATGAAGCTGTTTCAAAGATTTTTTGTGCCCCTCTCCCCCCTCCACAATTGTCATAAATTTAGTAACTGAACGGAGGCATGCTTCAAGAACCTAAAACAATAGGAACTGTTAATGCTGTTTGTGTATCTTTGCTTTCAGCAAGTACTGGGTGCAAGAAGAGTCTGGAGTGCCACTGAAGGTCAGAAAGGGAAGGGTGGGGGCAAGGGAGAAGGAAGGGAGAGAGAACATGCTTCTATACTATGCAGAACACACACAAAGGGGACAATAATATGAGCTTAGGGTGCAGTTCAATGGTTCCTAGTGCAGTGTCTCTCAGTCTTTCATATCTTACATCAGTCTCATCAATCCTTCTGTCAAAGAAATTGAATCCCACCCCAAGAGAAACAAAAAGCCCACTTCTGGTAATTTAGTAGATGAGGGATTGGGAGGTTAGGAGAAACACTGTACAGTTGTGCCTCGCTTTACAATTGCACCGCATTACTACGAAACCGCATTACGACGATCTTTTTGCGATCGCTTTGCAATGATCGGTTCCCTGCTTTGGGAAGCGATTCTTTGCAAAACGACGATTTTAAAACAGCTGATTGGCGGTTTCAAAATGGCCACCGGGTAAACAAAATGGCTCCCCGCTGTTTTCTGGGACAGATTCCTCGCAAGACAGGCAGCGAAAACGGCTGCCCTGTGGAGGATCTTCGCTGGACAGTGAGTTTTGACCCTACTGGAACGCACTGAAGGGGTTTCAATGCGTTTCAATGGTTTCTTTATCCGCTTTACAATGTTTTCGCTTAATGGCAATTTTCCTGGAACGGATTATCGCTGTTAAGCGAGGCACCACTGTACACCCTAAGTTATGCCTAGCACGCTGTGTGACAGATGAAGCCTCTGTGCCAGGCAGAGTCAGAAAAGACAGCACTGCCGGTGTGAGCAAGAAGATAAAAAGGAGGAGAAGAGTGAGCCGTCCCCTCATACGTCTGTAAAAGAGGAAAAAGATAGAGAAGTTGGAAAGGAAGATACAGTGGTGCCTCACACAACGATGTTAATTGGTTCCAAAAAAATCAACGTTGTGTGAAACATCGTTCTGTGAAACACCATTTCCCATAGGAACATTGGAATGCACTGAAGGGGTTTCAATGCGTTTCAATGGTTTCTTTTTCCGCTTTACAATGTTTTCGCTTAACAGCAATTTTCCTGGAACGGATTATCGCTGTTAAGCAAGGCACCACTGTACACCCTAAGTTATGCCTAGCATGCTGTGTGACAGATGAAGCCTCTGTGCCAGGCAGGGTCAGAAAAGACAGCACTGCCGGTGTGAGCAAGAAGATAAAAAGGAAGAGAAGAGTGAGCCGTCCCCTCATACGTCTGTAAAAGAGGAAAAAGATAGAGAAGTTGGAAAGGAAGATATAAGGAAAGTCATAGCAAAGATGAAAGGGTTAAAGGTGGGAAAGGAGGAGGAGGAGTCGGGAAAGAGAGAGAGAAGGAAGGTAGACGTTTTCTTAACTTCGGAGGAGGGGAAGGAATTGGGAGAGACATGAAAGATGGTGCTGCTGAAAGAGGACTAACTAGATCCCACAGAAGGGAATAGGTCTTCAAAAACCGAGACCATAAGGAGACGGAGAAAAAGGTGGAAGAAGGGAAACCAATCATCGAAGGACTGGGACCAGAGGAATGGACAGTTTTAGTACACCCTTGAGGACGGGGTCCTTGGAAGAGGGTGATTTTGGCCAGGACCGGTCCAACTGCACGAGAAGCCTCCCGAAGGGGGAATGGTCACATCATCCTTGCTGCAGGATGATATGTGCGATAAGGTGTGGCTGCCTGAGAAGACCGACGGCTCAAGAACGCTTCGGCCAATCTTATGTATAGTCTAAAAGGTGATGACTAACCTCTCAACTGTTCTTCTGTTTCAAGTCTGATTTTGTTAATCATTTCATCTCTGGAAATCTAGAAAACAAGATCTGTATTATGACTCCAAATAATATTTGAAAATTAAAATAAGATTCTGAATCGCTAACCACATCCTATACCTGAGAGCAGCATTCCCTCTAATTTTTCCACCAGCGCTGGGCAGGGGCCCTGCCCTCTGTGCACGGGTGGGGTTCTGGCCGCAACCACAACAAAATATGCAGCAACACTGGCAGTGGGTGCATGGCTCCGATGCAGGGCTGCACCACACCTACCCTACTCAGCTTAGAGGGAACATTGCCTGAGACTCAAGATAAAAGCCCAAATAACTAAAGAAACACTTCTTTTTCCATATCAATCTACCCATATTTTAAGATCTTTAATGAGGACATTTTTCTAGATACCCCCTTTCCTAGAGGTAAATTATTTTACAAGGAAAAAATATTGGCAGTGGTGCCCGTCTATGAAATGCCCCTTAAAGAGGCTTATCTGAAACCTATCATCTTTTCAGTGCCAGGCCAAGACATTATAATCTGTCCCAAACCTTAATTTTAAACTTTTAATTGTTAAGCTTCTTCTTGTTAAGGATTTCATTCTGAGCCATGTCATACTACACTGTGATATAAATGCTTTAAATGAAAAGGACAACAGAAATATCCATGGAATATTTCATCTGATAGACAAATGTCTATACATTGCGTCAAATGCACATAACCCCTTTGTGCTGAGATCACCAAGGAGGAATATTTGTTGCCTCCGTACATAGGCTTTCCTGCAGGCTCCTCCCAAACTTAGAAAGGAATGAAGAAACAAGAGGTTTCTGTTCCTCATCTCAAGTGATTCTGTGAAAGGGGGGGGGCAAATCAGTGGACCTGCAGCCTTCAGAGGTACTTCTGGATCACAGCACCAGGGAACTGCACAGCAGAAGTGTGCTGGCTACTAAGGGCAAGAGGTGGGGAACACTTCTTACACGCACATTTGCACTTCATGAAACAAGAGTAAGATGTTCAGAGTGGAAATAGCTAAACAGAGTTGGATGTGTTAAACAGGTTGAAAACAGATGGTAAAAAAACTGAAGAGTTGGGTTCTCTCTATCAAAATGAATTTAATTACTCACTTTTTCATGAGTGACGTCTGAAAACACTGCAGTGATCTTTTCTGATGCAAGGCTGTGCAGAACAAGTGGGAGAGAAGAAAGAAGACTTTTTTTTAAATTGCTCATTTCCATAATTTTCAAATACAGACAAGGGCTATGCCTAAACAATTATCCAATGGCATTGATAAATAACTACATCTATAGAAGCATCCCACACATCTTGAAATGGACTGTGACAATGACTCTGTGCCCTCAAGTCAATTGATTGATGGTGACAGGGTCTTCCATGTACACAGTACTCAGAAGCAGTTCAACAGTCCCTTCTTTTTGAGGCGCTCTATGCCTGTGTAGCCAGTCCAAAGCTCACAGGTTGGCTCTTCTCCCAATGCAATCAAGAAAACAACTCTGTTGGTAAATAAGAGCTCAGGTTATTTATCTCTAGTGACTGTGAGGGTCACATTGCTGTTTGGCCAATGAAACCGTCATTTGGCAAATGGATTGTTCAATGAAATCAGAGAGGAACAATGCAGCATGTGACTAGAGTGTATATTAAGATTCCGGAGACCTGGGCTCACGTCTCCACTCAGCCACTGAAACACTGGGGTGTGTGTGAAAATGGTAAAACCACTCCTTACATATGTCAGCTACCTTGGAAACTTTACAAAGACAGACATAATTTGGGATTAATTTGACAGCACACAACACACACAATGACATCAAAAGACCACAATGATCCCCCGAGGAAAGTGAAAAGAGCATAGTTCTTTAATATCCTCTGTTAACTCCTCCTTCTTCAATTCCCTGCAAACACTGATGTATGAAAGGCTGAGCTACTTGGTGCCACTGTTTCTTTACTGCAGAGTGATCTTTCACCATGGTGAGAACTACATTAGGCAGCAGTTTCCACATTTAAACTATCCCGTCAACACAATCAGAAGGATCACCCAAAAACCACCCCTATTTTTGTGTTAAATCACTGAGATGAGCAAGGAGCAGCAGGAACTCTGCCACTAAGGGCCTACTATCCCCCACCGTCCCATCTGAAGTTACAAGATACATACAGTGGTGCCTCGCTTAACGAGTGCACCGTTTAATGATTAATCCGCATACCGATGCGGATTTTGCGATCGCTTTTGCGATCGCATTACGATGTTGCCTATGGGGAAAAATCGCAAAGCGATTTTTCCCCATAGGCAACCATTTTCCCCCATCTGACCGGCGGGAGCCTCTGAAGGACTGCTCCCGCTGCTCAGCTGGGGGAAAATGTCAGCAGTGGGCGGCGGCCTCAGAAGGACCCCGAAGCCACCGCCTGACTGCCGACATTTTGCCTTCCCAGCTCTCAAAGGGCTCCCCTCCGACATTGGAGAGAACCCCTTTGAGAGCTCGGAAGGCTCTCAGCGGCGGCGGGGGC